AAGTACGCGATGTTAATTTTAATTTAACAGTATTTAAAGCAGAATTATTAACTCCAAAGAGTTTTTGTATTAACAGCACAGTTCACTTCCTCTTTCTTTTTTTTTTTTAATCAATCCATGAGACTAGTATTTTGTTTTCCTCTTTTTTTTTTTTTTTGTAATAGGGATAATTTTAATTACATATATCAAGTTTTGCGCATATTGGGCTTAAATTAAATTGGGGGTGTCTATATGTACACCCCCTCAAGTGTAAAAAAGAGGTGTACATATAGTACTTTTCTTTGTGTAATTTATTAAAAATGGGTGTACATATAGCATTGCCCATTAAATTTTGTTTTTCAGCCTATAAGTAACCTAAAAATTCATAGTTCATAATCGCTACAATCCATTTCGTTTGAGGTTTTTTAAGGCGGGTCGGGTCCCGGCAGACAGCGACGGCGTAGCGAGAGAGGGAGTGGTAGCTGAGGTCGGGGTAGAGCGTGTTATCACAATTGGTGCGGATGAATTTGGTGGCGGCGGGGATGGCGGTAGCATAGTACGCCAGAATGATGAGGATGGTTAGTATGAGTGAATGCAATAAATATATTTCATGGCCTAACTAAAGTTGTAAAGTGTGTTTTAGACTATTAGGGCGTTTAAAGGTGGGCGTATGCTTTTGTTGGAGAGTGGTGCTTTTGTTGATGAGAGAGATTGAGGGAGAGAATGCGGCTGAATTAAATTGAGTACTTTTAATATTTATAATTGTTATTGTACTTGTTTATTAAGGATTTTTTTTCTTTCATATTAGAATTTTCTTATTGCAATGTCTTGCTAGTACAACACCCGTGTATTACACGGGTGCTTGCTAATTTTTTTCTTAAAATTTAAAATTAATGAGAAAAAGTAGTTTGAAAATTTAAGTAAATATCTTTTATAAGAATATATATATTATTATATATTTATTATGACACTTTTTATTTGTGCAACTTACTTGTGTTATATTATACTATTTTTTTTAACTTACAATATATAACTACATTACATATAAATATATCAATTGGAAAATAATTTTATTTTTCTAATTAATTTCAATAAATATTATTATTTTTTATTATGATAAAGATAAATATAATTTATTTATTTCATATATATACAATATGGATGTCAAATCGAAGATCATCAAAAGATGATTAATTTAATATATTATATATGTAAAACCGATAAGAAATACAAAAGTTATCAACTTTTAAAATACATTTATAATTCAATAGCTTATTGAAGGAAACAAATCAAAATTCAGGGATATATTAGTCACTTTGTGCCTCACTATGTAAAATTACAAAGAATTGAAGGATTATTTTAGTAAAAGTGATATTAAAATACCTAAATAAGCTAAATAATATTTATGAAATATCCGAACCTAGATTATTAATTATTAATATATCAATATTATTTATCCAAACCTAATTACGAAGCATGATTCTTCGCCAAATAGGATTCCGAAGCACCAGAAGCAGTCACGTAGGCTCAACGCATTCGGAAATTATATATAGGGAGGATATCTTTAAATAAGTATATCGTGACTTTGTATGCATTAGAATAATTGTTGGATTAGAAAATCATTATCAATAAAAAAATCATGTCAACAATAAAATCAACTAAGAGATGAAATTATAACAAATTCTTTGATCCAACATCTATCACTCACCTGCCCACGACTAGTACTATTATTAAAGATTGACATATTGTATGACATGTGATTGTTAATCATGAAATTTTGGCATATATACAATGTTTGCGGTTAATAGATAAATAATTATGTATTGATAGTAAATCAACTGAAGTCGTCAGAATAGATAATAATACTGAAATATATAAATTGTAGGGTGTTTTAATATTTCATTGTGAATTATTCAAAAATAGAAAAAGTAAAATTTATATATAATGGTAACTTTGCATGTCTTATTTTGTGCCCTTTTTTTATCATTTTTTCAATTACCACAAAATTTGGCCCAACCTCATTCCATTAACTGGATCCGCCCCTAATTGAGCCAACTGTGAAACACCTTAAATGTAAATATAGATTATCCTTTTTATTTTGTTTCACGGCCACAAATTTTATAGCTCAATAAAATTGTACAAACTTAACCACTAAACAGTAGAAAAAGAGGAATGCCAACAACGGCAACCTAGCAAGAGAACAAAATAAACTACCACAGGTAAACAAATTTCGCATAGACTAAGCCTAGGAATCCCAGAATCGTTTATTGATGTAGCCGCACTAATTAATAGAGAAATTCCTGGAAAAAGATAATCTTACCACTGAACCAACGGACTTAGTAGGATTACCACTACTAACGCCAAAACAACAGGGAACTAACAAACTAAACAGAACAAAATCTAAAAAAGGAAAAGAACAACCTAAGCTAACTAACCGACAACTACATACTATCAAATTCAATCTAAGCCGAGGAAGTTGCTCGTACTATGGTGAATTCAGCCAGCCAAAAGTTTTGAATAACCCAAAGATTTCGGGCTTTCCATATCCACCATAAGTAGACTGTAAATCGGATCCTTTGGTCAGCATTGCCATTATTCTTCAAAGAATTGAGTTTGGTCCACCACTGTTGGAAGCAATCAGTGAACTCCTCTAGTCCATCCCAGGATATAGCTGCCATTTTCCAGATCCTCTTAGTTTTGCTACAGTGGAACATGAGGTGTTCAACAGTCTTCAACTCATCTCCACATGTGTTTACAAATTGGATCAAAAGTTTTAATCTTTCTGGAGAATGCATGGTTGACTTGGAGGGACTTGTTAAAACATTTCCTCATATAGTGCTTGATTTTTCCAGAAACTTTTTATTTTTTTGCCGACTCTAAGACATTTTTTATTTCCTCTGTATGAGATCGTCTGAACTGCAGAGTCCGTTGGGCAGTCGGACTAGGCCTCTTCATTTGGAATCGGGTCGCGGGTCACGAACAAATCTTCAGAACAAGGGCTTGTCGGGCTCGATCCGGCCAAACGTCGATTGGGCTCGGTCGAGTCGAGCTGGTAGTTGTTGGCTGTTGGCCTCGGTCGAAGTTGTTGCAGTGCGTGCATCTGCAAGTCGGGCATTGGTCGCGGACGGGATCGAAACCTCCTCTAGCCTGGATAATCATCTATAAATAAAACAAAATACTCGAAACCTCCCCTAGCTTGGATCGACGTAGGACAACACAAATTAGAATGAATCAATCCTAGCACTTTTTGGTTCCTATACCCATTTGTCGTAAACGGCCTCTTGGTCATCTTACCTTCTAGGCATGATTCGCAAGTTGTATAGTGCTTTTCCAATAGACCGAGAAGTCCACTGGCCACTAACTTTTGAATCCTCCTAAGGTTGATGTGCCCAAGTCTAATGTGCCAAATATATTCTTGATTCATACTCGAAGATTCCTTCCTCTTATTAGATTTAGTCACGACATTATTCAATTTAGTTTGTTGCAGTGTGGGAGAGTTTGGTTAAGAACATACAAATTACCAACTAATGAACCAGAACAAATGAAACGCTTTCCACAACGAATAACAACCAAGTCATCAAACGTAAAGGAAAATCCATCTACAGTTTGTTACAGTGTGGGAGAGTTTGGTTTAAGAACATACAAATTGCCAACTACTGAACTAGAACAAATGAAACGCTTTCCACAACGAATAACAACCAAGTCATCGAACGTAAAGGAAAATCCATCTAAAACAAGTTTAGAAACTGAAACAAGATTCTTCCCAAAACTAAGAACATAAAGGCAATGTCTAAAAACCAAAATACTACTATCAAAAGATAAAGTAACGTCTCCCACTGCAACAGCCGCCACTTTCGTAGCATCGCCCATGTAGACGGTGATCTCTCCCTCCATAAGTCGTCTGGTATCCTAGAACCCCTGCAACGAATTGCAGACATGATCAGTGGCTCCAGTATCTACACACCAGGTTCTGGTAGATACAACCTCTAAACATGTTTCTACGACATTAACGAGTGAGTTATCTTTTTTGAGAAGAGGACAGTCGATCTGCCAGTGTCCTGACTTGTTGCACTTGTGGCATCTACATTTCGACTTCCTTACCAAAGCTTGAGGGGGCGGTCGTTGGACCACTAGAGCATCCTGCACCTTTGCCTTTCCAGCAGACTTATTTCTCTTCCTACCCTTGTGAGGCTTGGAAGGTCCAGTTTGCTCGGCAACCAGTGCGTGAGACGCCTGAGTGAATAAGCCCACCACCGACTGAAGCTCTACTAGCAGTTCTGGAAGAGCCATATGCATCTTGTGCATGTTGTAGTTTAACCGAAACTAATCAAAGCTCTCCGGCAGAGATTGAAGCATGATATCAACCTGGGTTTCCCCGTCGATAAAACCTCTCATAACCTCAAGCTCATTGAGTAGCGCCACAACCTTGAGAGCATGCTTCCATACGGGTGTGTCATCTGTCGTGCGCATAGTCATCAGAGCATTCATAGCCTCTTGTTTAGCAGCCCTAGACTGGTGTCCGAACAGATTCTTGAGATTGAGAAGTATGTCTGTCGCAGTGTTCATAGACTCATTCTGATGTTGAAGAACATTTGACATAGATGTCAGAATGTAACACTTCGCCATCTCATCAGCCTTTTTCCATCGGGCATACTCTCATTTCTCCTGCTCATGAGCATCAGTCGCGGGCTCTACCGAGCAAGCCTCAATAATCGTAAACTTATAACCCTCAGCAGTCAACACAATGTCTAAGTTCCTCTTCCAATCAATGTAATTAGGACCAGTAAGTTGATTTTCTTTTAGAATGACAAATAACAGATTGAACGACATGATGAATATCTGAGAAATACGAAAATTATTTTACAGATTAAACACATTTGAATTTAACTGCGCCAAACCCCCCTGTATTATACGAAATCTCAAAACACCGTGAGTTAATGCATGATGCGATGGCAACCCTACACAACTCAACATTCGCAAGAGAGAGGCTTTCAAAGGCCCATTAATTTTCATAAGTCAAAACCAAATTTGTTTTCAGTATTTTTACCGGAGTAGAATCGAAAGATTCGTTCCCCAGGTCGTATCGCAAGGAAGGTTAGCTGGATTCAATTGTACGATTATTCGATCACGAAAAAGAAAAAATCCTAAACACTCTATTCATTAAATTTTTGGGTTTCAATTATCAACTAAGAATTTAAAGCTAATGTAAATCAATTTAAATAGCAGGATAAATTTACTCAGTGATTAAAGAGCTAGGGAATCGGGGATAATTATTTTCGGTTCTAACACAACTACCGGCAATCAATTGCTCGGTTAAAGGACTTGAGTCGTTTCTCGTCCAGAGACTCACTCTCAATAACTCTTCGTAACAAGAGAGTGAACGTACACGATCAACTATCAATTCCAACAACTCATAGACAATATGTCTCCAAACAAGTCTATCCTAAACGAGCCTAAATCGACCAACGTCTCCCCTCTCGGTTCTACACGTTGATTGATTAGTTTAGACAGGTGATCAATCTACTAACCCTAGAATAAGCACAACTCGAATAGGCATGAACAATCAAGAACAAGCAATCATTAATCGAACCTAATCAATCATCCCCTATCCCTAGCGAATGAATTTAGCTACTCATATGAAATTCAACAGCAAAATTCATATAAACCCAAGCCATCATCATCAACAAGCAACTGAGAAAAAAGAACTTACGATTAATAATGAGAATCCCAATGTCAAATCGAATGAACAATCCAAATTCAAAGCAAGAAAAAAGAGTTTTTCAATCTCCAAATCCAATCAAAAGAGAAAAATCATGAAAATGAATGAGTTTCTCTAGAGAAAAAGCGTAAAAATAAAGTATGGAAGTGAATAATCAATCCTAAGCCCTAATTCTGATGTAAAAATCCGCGTCTCGAAATTCGCGCCGGCCATCTCGCGAGTCGCGACTTAAGTCGCGAGTCGCGCGTCTTCAAATATCTTCATTTTCTGGGGAAACTCAGGACCTTACTCGTGAGTCGCGACTCGTATCGCGAACTTCTCATTTCAGCTCTGTTTTTCTCGCGTCTCGCGATCTTCTCGCGAGTCGCGACATAGTCGCGAGTCACAAAAAAGTCTGGGCTCGTCTTCAGTCCATTTTTTCGGTCCTTCCTTCAGCTTCTGAGCTCCACAACGGGTATTCTTGGCATCACGATCTCGGCTCTAACAGTTTCGTCCTCGACCGACACAACCTACCTCCTGAAAACACAAACACGGAGAAAACACGAAGCATAACACAGCAAAAGGACGCACAAAACAAAACTAAAGAGAAAAAAACACAAAACCACATAATTGGACCAAATAAACTCCGAATATCCTACAAGTGGGGAACATAAAAGGAAAATAAAACCAAAATAAAGACACAAAAATGGGATAAACAAAATTCTATAATATAATTAATTATAATATACAATATAATAATTTCGAAATTCTAACTATAAGATAATAAATTTTATATTATAATATAATATCTAAATTTTAATATAATTTCTTTAATAATTAAAATTTGATTATAAAAAAATCAACATAAACTCGTGTGTCCTAATTATATTACCATACTAATTAAATTTCTCATATATAATATTAATTATAACCAAGGTTCTGGAAACCAGACCGGTAATCGTAACGGTCGGTTCAATGGTTCACTAGTTCGACAAGTGGTTGAACCGGTTGGACCGGTATTTGATTTTTAATACTTTAAACATATATATAATATTTTATATGATAAAACTTATATATAAAATTTTGTTAATTAAATATTAAGACGATTTGAAACATTCAAATACTTAAACTAACTAACAGTAACTAATATATATATATATATATATATATATATATATATATATATTTAAATATTTTCCATTTCACTAACAAAAAGAAAAAAAAAATAAAAGTAAGATGATAAGTGTATTTTCTTTTATTTTGTAAAAGCCCATAATGTTTTTCCGTATTTCATGTTCATTTAGGTAAATTTAATCATTTATCAATTTAAGATAATAATAAGTTTAATTAATGATAATTGATATTCATCTTGACATACATAGTGAAAGTGTGTTAAAGCATGAATCGTTTAGTCTCACATTAATTTTGAAAGCAAAAAAGAATGCAAAAAGTAATTATAAAAGACTAGAGGTTTGGAACAATCTCACATCAATTACAAACACTATAATAAAGGCCAAAAGTGACTATAAAAGATTGTGAGAGTGAAAACTTTAATTTGCAATTATCTCACATTGAATGAGAAGATTCAATGTAAGACATTGAATGTCTATATATGTTGTAGTAACTTGCCTTAAAAAATCGCCCGACCGCAATTAGCAGCGATTGCGCGAGTTGTGGCCACATGCGGCCGCGCGAGTTGCCACCGTAATTAGGGACGCCAGCAATAAAAAAAAATGAAAAAAATAAAATTGTCTTTTTTTGGTGCGGTATTCATGCCTGCCACCGCCGACCTAAATATTGGTCAAAAGTTGTAACCTTTCATATCAAAAGTTCTACAATCACATCAGGAATTGTATATCTCTCGAGTCATGCTACATAACCAACTTAGTGTACAACTAGGTTGACAACACAAGTGTAAATACTCATAAAATTAAAAATAAAAAAGTACACAAGTGGTTGTTTACACTTGTGTTGTCAACCTAGTTGTACACTAGGTTGGCAATGTAGCATTTTTCATATCTCAAACCTCATGACCCATGGCTAGTTTTCCCACAATACATATATATCGCTTTAACAGTAACAATAAATATTCATAAGTTAGCATACCAATCATTTTCCTCAAATATAAACCAGATGATAAGGATTAAGCTCCATCTTTATTCCAAAAAGATATAAATACCATAAGGAACATTTACGCCACCACCTCCATACAACCCTCTCCAGCTGAGTCACGCAACAATATCAAAACTACAACACACAAATATGAAACCTACAAACAAAATACAACTTCTTCAGTATGCCTCTGTCGACTTTTGATTGGGTTTATCTTCATCTGTGATGTGCACATTCTCAACCTGCTGAGTAATAACCTCGGATAAACTGGTTCCGGAAGCTTCTTGCTCGACATTGTTAGTTGGACCAGTCTGCCATATTCTGATGGTCCCGTCTTCAGATCCCGAGGCATATGATTCGCCACCTGGCGAGAAACGAACGCAATGGATTGGACCATGATGCCCCTTGTTGCAACCTACGAGAAACCAAAAAAATGAAAAAACAAAATCAAAATACTAAAAATACAAGTGACAACAGCTTATTATTAAAAAACAATTGCACTAAGAAATTACAATGAAAAAGCAACCATCATAGCTTGAAAAAACTACACAGCCAACTCACCAACTTCGACTCCTGTGTGAAAATCCAAAACATGAATCCACATATCCTCTCCACCAGCAATAAACTTGTTACCATATTTTGGCTCCAAAGAAGCTGATTCCACACCACAGGGCATTGAGTAACTCTTTACCAATCCAAAGCTGGTGAACAAAATACCGCGTTAATGCATATGATATGGCTAAACCAATCAAAAAATACGATGGAGCATTCATCAAATGGATAGACATACTGATTTGCGTCCCAGAAATTGACAGTAGACCCATCTGCAGTTGTTATATAGCGGCCATCTTGACTAACCTCAGCACTGGTTACAGAGGACTTGGTCTCAAGCGTCCGAACAATTGTGCCGGTTCTCACATCCCACAACCTAAAGCCAGGTCATCAGTTTAATTTTACGTTTGCAAAAAATAGTTTTGCATGTGGGAAACAAAAATACAAGAAATAGCAAGCTATGTCGTGTGCCCAAACTAGACAGCCATCAAGCAATTTCAGAGAAGGATGTAATTAATGTTAACACCTGATGCCATCAGTAAAAAAATGAGAAACATAAAATATATAAACCATGTGATTGAATAGAGAAAAAAAAAAAGATAATTGAAGATGAAGCCATCTACGATGCTACATATGATCAGCCTGCAATTAGTAACTATCCATGCCTAAATCATTGAAAAATTAATTAAAAGAAAGAAAGGTAAGAAGAATAGAGATGATCTCTCAGTATTCACATACCTTACACCACCCATGTCAGTACAGGAACCTAAAATTGTTTGATCACTATGTAGCCAAGCAACAGTTCTCACAGAACCAGGAGACCTTTCAATTTCCCTGGGAGGTGCATCTGGCCGATTTAAATCATATATGCGAAGAACTTTTTCCATTCCTCCAGTAAGCAGAAAGTGGGTATCCTGCCAATTGATTGAAGATAAAAAAAAATAAAAAAAAAAAATTCAACCATCATTACCAGTAAAAAAGGTGATAAACATCAAAAGGAGAATCCTAATAAAGCTGTATAAGTCCAAAACTTGTTTTCACACTTATTAATTTTGGCCACTCCCACGAAGGAATGTTAATATTCACTTCAAATCAGGAAGATAAACACATTAGCAACTCTGACATAGGCATCTTAAATAAACTTCACAAATTAACAAAATATGTTGCAGCATATAAAAGATACAGGACAGCTCATAAGTTACTTCAAATGAATGTACGGGCAGGATAATTCTCAAGTAATTTCCAGTAAACAGTTATCCTACAGCATAATATACAGCAATAGAAAAAAAAAATATCCAGGTTCGGAAATCTGTCAATATTTATTACAGTCCAAAAAAACCATAAAATACATCTTCTAAAAACAGAAGGAAAGCTAAAAAGGAAACGTATCTAAACCTCGATAAATATTCTGTTGATAGAAAAATAATGTTAACATCCATCACAAGTGATGAATGACATCAGTCATATTGTACCTCTGAGAAGGCACAAGCACGAACAATGTGCTTGTGCTCAAATGAATGCAACTCGTCTCCAGTCAATGCATCCCATAATTTCCTGCAGCAGGTCAACAGAATCAGGACAATAAGCTATTCAGTTACATTAATAACATTATAAAAAAAGGCTCTAGTCTCCATTAGAGCAGACTCGTGAACAAGAAACCATACGCAGAGAAATCAGCAGATGCAGAGGCTGCACGCAGCGCATTTTTATCCAAGCAACAAGACCATACAGCACCTTTGTGTCCTTGAAAAGTCCCAATCCAATCTCCAGTCTCTCCATTTCTCAGCATTGGTGTTGAATCTTAAAGGAGATGCAAACTCTTAGAGGTACTTAACTCAACAAAACACTTTAAAAAAAATTCCAATTCATAAGGCATTTCTGAGATCTCACCACATTTCGAGGGTTTATGTTATTTGCAAGAGCATAGAATATAAACCGCATAGAGTACTTATTGAGAAATAGGAGATAATAAACAAACTAGTTCACGGCAAGAAAATCAAGATATAAACTGCAACAGTCATATATTAGCGTTTGGAATTTCCATATCACAGATAAACAATCACTTAGATTACCTACTTGAACAAATAAAAAATGTCAAACCATATAAATTATACAGACATGTTTGACCTAACCACTGTACTTCTCCCGGATTCATCATTACCGATTAACTTGGGTTCTTCCAAATGTAGGAATATTTTGGCATTAAGAACCTCAATATCCAGATAGAAATAGCTTAAACAATTTACCTGCGACTCAGCAATTTATACAATTGGACTTAAAACATTTAAGAAAACACAAAATAATTGAAAGACAAACACAGAACTATTTGACCAATATTCTTTTTCCCATAACAGCATTAAGCTCTGATTCTTACATAATCCACTTTATTACATTCGCCCAAAAAAAGGAGCAAATAGAATCAATCCATGAGATGGTTTTCATATGAAAATGTTATGGTCAAAACATATCCTTTGGCATACTCGTCAAACAACTTCCCTTCAAACCAGAAGGCATAAGCAGACAATTGTTCACAACATTCTCCATTAGATATATTATTATTTTGTCATTTCAACTAAAACAAATTAAGCACTTAATTGATCACAAAACAGGTCAAATTTAACTGTTAACAATCACACAAAATAACACTCCAACTCTCCATGAAAACATCTTCTTCATTGTCAGGGCAAGTCGATTAAGCTACACACTTTTTCCTTAGGCAATAATTTTTACAATCACTAGTAAAATGAAGGTAAAGTTACAGCTGGGCACACATACATTAATGGAGTCCCAACATCATTTCCAAATCCGAAATTATTAAGGTCTGTAAAACAAAATTCAGACAAGTTCAAAAGATCCTTAAACCAAAAATTTGTTGTGATATCATTACCTCTTCAGCTGAAGCCACTATAGAATCATGTGTGATTGTGTTACATACTGGACCATATAAGTGCCTATGCATCATAACTCCTAACAATCAAGAAAAATTACTACCTAAGGTACTAGCATTATGTATTTATGAAGCAAACCAAGAAGGATAATAATGTGGATCATCAATATAACAAGATCAATGAAAGAAACAATGACATTGATAATAATGTGGATCAGCAAGATAACAATAACTAAAAGCAAAAGAAAAAAACCTTACCCTTGCTTGCACTGACAAGGAAGAACCCATCGGGCGTTACTGGACTGTAGAACACATCAACAACCGGGCGAGAATGACCATGGCAGACCAATGGAGCCACAACTTTCTTCTTATCCATTCTTCCACAAACTTATATATTACCCAAATAATTAATGCTTCTATTTTTTTCTGTCAAAATTTACACAAAAATCTATTTCAAATCACCCAGCAAATGAACCACAGTCCTCGATCCCAATTCCAGAATTCAAGGACCCAAATTCAATCTCAAAATTGGACAATTGACCCCACAAAACGAAGAAGAAACGCCTGAAATTTTTGATTTCTGGATTAAAAAAAAAAGAAAAAAAAAACGAAAATGATATCGTTCGTGGGTATTTGATGAGGATCACAGAATCAGAAACAATAATAAAATTTCTACAGATCAAGAAAAGAAAATGTAATATATGTATATATATTGGTGTGTAGAGGCAGTGGCGGCAAATGAGGAACCCTAATCTTTGGATTGTTACGATCAATTCACCCTTGTGCAGGAAGGGATCCACCTCCTAACCCTAGATAGATCAATGTGTCGCTATTTTTTCTATAAATTTTTAGAAAATATTGAAACACTATTATATGTAAAGGAAAAAAACTACACTCCAAAATAGGTACAAAACTGGACTGTATGGGCTAGGAGGGGCAGGGAAGCTTTGACGTGCCTTTAGCTTATTTATAGGAAGAAATTCTCTATTTTCGCTTTTGCTTTCTCATTTACGACTTGCGACTGAGAGTTCTTCAGATCGAGTCCCAATCTTTGAATAAATTGCATGGAAATTTTATATTTACTACTTTTGGATTTTTTTGAATATTTGGATTATATATCCACCTTCTTCTTATTCTATTTGGGCAATTTTGCTAAGAAACCAGACCGGACAGTTTCACGTGGGGTTGTCCCACATGACTTCGGAACCAGATGATTGGTTTCTTTATGGAACCAACCACCAATAGGACTGTCCCACATGAAAGTCATGTGTGACAGCCCATGTAGAGCTGTCCTATTGGTGGTTGGTTCCATAAGAAAACCAGCTATCTGGTTTTATAGAAAAATTGTCTATGAGGGTCAGTTTTGTTGTACTTTTGATGGAGCTTGATATAATACATAGATTTGAGCCATGTTTTATAAATGAGACTATCCATTCTGTTTTAAATTATGGAAGATGTTAAGGTTTTGTTACGGTACCATTCTGTTGGAGTTTGTAATCGTTAGATCAACTATTTCTGACGGTTACATGATGATTTAATGGTTTCAAATCTCGACGGAATGATTCCGTAACGGGAGCTTAGAATTTTCCAAAAAATTATAAATTGTTTGTTTTATTTTTTATCTTCATAGATATCTTGATCATCAGTCTCACTTTTGTCCTTCGGCCCATTATGACAAAACATAGATAAACTTGTAGCCAAGACGGAAAAAATATACAGATGAAGAAGACAATGTCGACTCGCGAAGAAAGCTTGAATTACTGACAGGTCATCTCTAAAAATTTGGAGGACCCAAACAAGTTTGTTCTTTTCCAATTTCTAGATTTAAACTTGTGTGGTAATTAGAATTATTTGCATATAGAATCATAGAAGTAAAAAAAAAACTAAAACAAGATTATTAAATAAATAAATAAGTGAAAAAAAAAATCTTGTTTTTCCACACCTTGAATTGATAAATTACATGTGAGTTACAAAGATCTTCAATAAATTACATTCAATTAGTCACAAAGATAGCAAGGAAAAATAAAATAATAATCATATCACTGCAAATAATATATATTCTAACACAATTGTTATGACCGAACATCATATGAAAACAATTGAAATATTCAGAGCCTCAAATTCCCACACAAGGTACATATTTCGCCATCAGCTCATTCGTTAATTAGCTCATTTATTTGTGTAATGGGTCAAGTACCTATATTTAACCATTAATCCCTCTATTTGTGTAAATATGTCAAACTCAAAACAAATACATAATATTGAAAAAAAAAAAAAAATAAAAATGGAGCCCCAAATATATGGAGGCCCAATGCATGGGCCTAGGCTGCCTCCCCCAACGAGCCGATCCTAATTACAGACAATCGGCTACTCCAAATCTTCAGACTATTTCACCAATTCTTGGTCACGTGTTTTAGAAGCGCACTTCATCCGAAAATCATCAAGTAGGCTTCTTTAGGTTTAATCGAGTTGCTTTCTTTATGGAGTATAATTCAATTATTGTGTTGAGATATAGTTGCAATTATTTTAATTTGTTCCATGAGTTCAATTTTGGAGATATTAATCTAAATTAGGGGTCCTCTTCATTGAGCTCGGCATTCACAATTTCCAATTCCTGCATTTTTCAATGTTGGATACATTTACTTTTTGCAAGAAACTTTGAGACATATTTGAAGATTAATTCTCATAATAAACAAATAAATATTCATGAGGGACACATTTGCGTAAGTGCTATTATAAATATTATTTTTTTTTTCTGAAATGGCTTCAAACATAAGCTCGTGGGCAAAATCAGATTGGTCGTGGCATTTGTTTGGTGCCTGCAAAAAATGTAATTAATCTTTAGGTTATATTGAGATAAGCATTGTTTCCGGTTACATTACAAAGATTAATTATGTTTTGATTTTTGTATTGAGAATATACAGTTTATTTAATGAATTTGGGTTGTTTCAATGTTCAATCTTTCTTACCTGTTTGTCTGAGAGATGTTTGTCAATCTCTTTTCTCAATTCATGTTAGATAGCAAGGGCGTGCTTCGATGAAAAACTGGGCCGAGTTTTATCTAATTTTGGATTGGGCCTTATTGTTGAGTACATGATTGGTTTGGTAAATTTTAAAAATGTGGTATAGTTAGTTGTTAGTGGGTATATTAAAATAATACTTAAAATAAAATAATTAAAATTGATTTGATGTAAAAATATGAGAGAGAAGGTGTGATGTGATGGTTAGTTAAAATAATGTGAGTGGATGAATAGTGAATTAAGGTTGATGTGTGTGTATGAATGATTAATTGATATTATTTAATTATATTGATAATATTGATGATAGTTGGAGTTGAGTTAAAGTTGAGTTAAAAAAAATGGTTGAATTAAAATATTGAATTTTTTTTTTTAAAAAAAAATCTTATAAACAAACACGCTCAAACTAATCAAATTTTCAAAACCACGAATGGGCACACAAGTAGTTGTAAAAGTGAAGTATACCCACCAACCAAACTTGCCAAAATTCATTTTATCACAACTATTTTTGAACTTATTTTGCACATATGTGAAACGGGGGCAATACGAGTGCGGTCCCACACAGGTGAAGCGCACCATAAGAGGGTTAGCCCAAATGAAGCCCAAGTGAGGTTCCATCTCAAAACCAATTGGTAGTAGGAGGAGTAGCCCACTAGGCTTATAAGTTAGGCCTATTTACCCTATCAAATCAATGTGGGACAACTCACAAGTGACACTCCAACAACATATATATCAAATCTAATGGGAAATGATACGGTCCCGTTACGGAACCATTTCGTCAGGATTTATAATCGTTAGATCATCATGTAATCGTCCGAAATATTTGATCTAACAGTTACAAACTCTGATAGAATTGTTCCATAACGGGACCGTAGCATCTCCCCAAATTAATATACCAGGCACACAATCGTACATCTTGTTCCTGCCGATTTTTTATAGCAGAGGTGGATAGCCAATGTGTGTCGAATAAGGGTCTTGGTACTGATGGCGAATTCGGGCACACGGCGATAGTAAGGCCATCCGTAGCATGGTTCAAATGAGCTGGAGCGTGAGGATTCACCATGTGCATAAAGAAGCTAATTTTGCGGCAGACTACATGGTGAGTTTGGCGGCTGCATACTCGATCGGTTTGCAGTGGTTGTCGGATCATCCCGATGGCTTAGGGCCATAGCTTGATCATGATCTTATAAGAATATCATACTCTAGGCGCGTCCTAGCCTAACCAATTTCTTAGGCCTTTGGCCTCCTATATTGTACCAAAAAAAAAATAATATGATTGAATATTTGACTAAATATTTTTTTCGAAACTTCACCTTCAACAAGCGTAGATTTCTTTCAAACTTCTTTACTTCGCCAGAATACAAATACCTAAAGCAGATATGGGGAGAGACTTTTTCAGAAGTATTCGCGGAACTGATACTAAATCTAAATCAAATACTAAGTCGAAATGAAAAATTCACTTTTGTCTCTTTCGCCTTTCTTTTTTGAGTGGAGGGAATTTTCCATAGAATAGAGGCACCTACGAAATCGAGCGTTAACTCCCATTTCTTATTGAATTAACTGATCAACGTGCTCTCGGACATTTCTTTTGAATTCAAAAATTTTCCAATTTCTCAGGTAGTTCTTTTTATCGCATAACTACGTCCTCGAGTTAGTAATCTCCAATCTTTGAATTTTGAAAAAAACAGTTATAATTAATAAGATGATACATATTTATTTGTGATCTTATTAGAATTGTTATCTGATTCCAAAGGTAGCATGGAATTCTTATAT